TAATAATAATAATAATAATAATAATAATAATAATAATAATAATAATAATAATAATAATATAAACATATGAAATATGCATCTTTTAAAAATACTGTCAATAAGTAACATAATTATATAACGTTTTAATTGTAATACTTTTTACATTTACTGTATATATTATAAAAAATAGATATAACTGAATTTGAAACAAAATTAACAATTATTTATAAATGTACATTTATGTGCATCTGTAGCTTGCTAATCTACAAAGATGAGTACTAAGTTCTTGCAGTTGACGTAAACCTATATTTAATACATCTTGCCTTAATTTTATGCAACAATATACATCGAGGGGCTCTATATCAATCTCAATCAAATTTTTTCCTATTGATGTAGTCTCAGGCAGAAATGTTACCAATGTTTGATGTAAATTCATCAATGTTCGATGATCCGTACAAGAATTTTTGATTTGTTCCATTACACTGCAATAAAATATGATTGTTATATATATGCATTTAAATATATAAAATATATATTATATAATTTCATAAGTAAAAATTAACTTACGCGCTTAAACTGCATAATAATTTATTTACATTTGCTGCAAGTTCTGGTTGTATTTGTTTTACGTAGTCTATAGATGGAAGTGGATTTAGAATATTATAATGGAAAGAACAGGGCATTCCAATTGCTTCGGCTGCCATACCACTGTACAATATAATCATAATCAATAATATATCGTAAACAAACATTATTAATTATAAAACTTACGACATATCGCGGGCATAAACATATGCCGCTTCAAAATATTGGAAAGCTTTTTGTGCTCTACGTTCCTGTTCTTCGACGTTATTTTCAATTCCAATTGTATTACATAATTTTTTATCATTTATTTCAATCTCATAATTATGGCATTTTTCTTTTAATTCCTTGGGGAAAAAAAAGAAAAAAAGAAAATAAAATAATAATATTATAAATTATTTGAAAATATTTTAATATAAACAAAAAGAATTACGAGATTAATTACATCAATTTTTTTAGAAATTCGTAACATTAAAATTGAATGTTTATCTACATTAACCATTTGTGCTAAATCGCTACATTTATTCAAGATATAGCTATTTTCCTTCAAAGTTTTTCTATCTGGAAAAAAAAAAAATATTCAACTATTAATATAAATCTCCATATAAAATGATCATCTTATTAAATTACCGGATGTATTTTTAAATATCTGTAATAATTCCTTCAGAATAACTTCTGCTTTTCTTTGAAACGATTCGCTTATAGCAGCTATCCAATGTTTTACAGCACACTGTAGAACAGTTACAGTTGTCCAAGGTGGTTTTATAATAACATATTTTTCCCAAGAATCACCATATAACATATGCATTTCTTTGCTAACTATCTGCAAAAATTTTTTTTTTATTAAATCTTGCATTTCTCTTATATTATAATCTCTAATTATAATATATTAAATTTTATTTATATATTTTATTATATATATACCACTGTTAGAAAGTCTCTTATAATACTTTTTATATCTTCATATATTTCATTTGATAAATATAATTCTTGGCATAAAATTGATGTAGAATCCAAATTGAAACTTTCATTGCTTTTAGAATTAGAAAATGATCTATTTACATAATTAGAAGCATTAAGATAATCAACTTTTTCAAATGGATCAGTTTTCCCAAGTGTTATAATATCGTAAATCATTGCTTTATTACAAAGATTTACATCATATGATAATAAGACCTGAAAAATAATGAAATTTGAAACTTGAGATATTTAAATTTTTTTGCTACTTCATATTGCTACTTCATATAACTTACAACAGATTTTCCTAAGTCACGAATTTGTAAACAAGTTTGTAAAATTTCATCATCTGGACAATCAGTGGAAAATTTTTCCTTATTTTTTGCAACATCTTCTGGTGTTTGACCAATTACATATTGATTTGAAGAAAAAAGTTTATTAATATAATTTATAGCTTTTCTCGCTTTAACGCACAATATTGTTGGTTTTGATTTACCATTATCATTTTTTATATAATCAAGTTCCTATAATAAAACATTTATTTATAAAATTTAAAAACTTTACTAAAATAAATAAAAAATATAAAAACTTACACATATTACAGTCCATGGTATTACAATTAATGAATGATCATAAGTTTTAAAAGCAGTTTCCCTTGCCAATTCAATAGTATCAATATTTGTTAAAAATACATTAGTATCAACAACAATATATAAATAATTTTTTGCTTGTTTTTCTGATAATAAGGGATATTTTAAAGTATTATTAGGTACATTATAGGACATATTTACATTGGTTTCAGTACAAAGTTGAGTTCTAACAGCTTGAACCTATATTAAAAATATAATAACCAATATTAAGAATAATTTATGTTATTAGCATAAAATATTTATTTTTGTTTAATTTCGTATTTCTATTTTTAAATCTATTATTTATCATAAATACATTTATGATAAATATACATATAAAAAAAAATTGTGTAAAATTACGATTAATAAGAATACTTGATATTACTTCAAACATAATTTTCTCATCTTCCAATGGTTCCCAATCCATTTCTTCATAGAAAGAATTCTCATTAGACCGCTTTATTAAATCATCTACAGTTGTTATTGATTCTGTAGAAGAATTTGCTGCTTCTTTTTCTTTATCAGTACATAAATTTTTATTAACAAAAGTTTTATCATTTAAAAATCTCTCCTTTAATCGCACCAATCTAACTTCTGCATTTTTATAAATATTTGGTAACTTTCCTATTGGATTATTTAGAAAATTAATAAATAATAATAAATATTTCAATAAAAAATTGAAATATTAAAAAAAATATTATATTTACCATATAAATCTATAGAAGAAGAATTCGAAGTGCAAATACTCTCATTTAAATTGTCATCAGATTTTACTGATAAGCTTTCTCTTAACTTTTCCATACGTTCTTTTCCTAAATTTTTCTTCAAAGATCTTCGATTTGACTTTGTTGGTATAGTTTCAATTGAATTACCTTCTTCACTTTTTCTTTTGTTCATTAAATTTTTTTCTCTTGCTATTATTAAAAAGTTTAATTTAAATTAATATCTTTATAATTCATTTTTTTAATTATGTAAATAAAAACATTATAGAAAAATTATATTATAATATCTGTAATATACTAACCAATTTTTAGATTGTTTTGTTTTTCTTCCTCTTTTCTATTTTTTAAAGGAGATGAAATGACCTCTAAATCAACTTCCTGTTTACAGGAACTTTTCTTTCTTAATCGTGTTTTAATTATTTTTTGCTTATATATCATATTCTTTTTGACTTCCTCTACTTTTTTAGTTTTAGAACTTTTTGCATTTCTTTCTTGTATTTTTTCTAAAAGTATTTGCATTTGTGGTGTACAATTTGTTTTTGAATTTGAATGAATATCATGTTCTTTTGTATATGAACTGGTGGTTTCATCAACTTTTGAAGATTGTGATTTTATAGCATTCTTAGATATAGAACTTTGAGTTTTAGGACTATTCTTTTCTTTCCGCTTTAACATTTTTTCTCGAATTGCTTTCATTTGTGGAGTTTCTTTTTCTTCATTATCTTTTTTCTGTGTTTGCTTAACAAAACGTTTTGCAACAAGTTTTTTTCTTTCAAAGATTTGATTTTTAGATTCATTGTATTCAGAAGGAGATTGAATTTCATTAGTTTCATTGTCTTGTGTTGATTGTTTTCGTTTTTTAGAAGATCCATTTGATTTTTTCTTAATCTAATAATAAAGTCATTTATAATTATTTCATTTTTAATATCTAATTATAATATATTTATAGATCAAAAACTAATTATATTAAATTATATTTAAATGATAATTAATATAGAAAATAATTAAGTTATAAAAATTATAAAAAAATACAAAGATAAATAAAGATAAGAAATCTATAGGTTAAAATATATGAAAAAAAGAATCAAATATTATTAACTTTTATCAAATATTAATATTAATAATATAAAAAAAAATATGTTAAAATACTTGTTCTGTCTGTTCTACTGTTGGTTTATCCCAAGATGATTGATTTGTTTTGATATTAAAATAATATATTCTATGTGGATGTGTCTTTGAGCTCATTTCAATCCAATTTGCTGGTAATTTATGTTTCATCATGTTTAAAATAGTCGAAAAACATAAACATATAAAAACAAAATTTAATTACAAAGAGAATCAATTCAATTTTACAAAACGCGAATTTTTTATTATGTATCATTACACACTCTCTTATAAACTTCAACGATGTAATAGACGATGACTGATCATAAACAAAATACATATGATGTCAGTCACGTGTTCTAAAGCAATGAATATATGGAGAATGTCTTAATGATTCCATTAAATTTTGGAATATTCATATTTGGAATATTCAAGATGAAAGATTTTAGAATAATTTATCAAATATGTTATTTTTAAATCTGTTTAACATATAATTGTGAATAAGAAATTTTACCACGTAGGGGATTTTAACGTTATTGTTTTGCTTCATGTATATAACTATCTAAAATCTCAGAAATGTGTCTTTCTTCTTCATACTATTGAATTGTTTTTTCGAAAAAAGTTATTCTTTTTTAAACTATGATTTAATGCATTCGTGATAATAAAAGATAAGTCGATATTTATGCAAAAAATTGACGAAACGTATGAATTCGATTGTTTCTTACACATATCAATTCAATTGTTTTTTACGTGTAACAATCTGCAAAGATATAGTAAATTACTTTAGTTTTATTATTTATTCCATCAATATACTGTTAATATAAATTATTATACAAGCAATGTCACATAAATATCAAAATGTTAATGATTTATCAACAGTAGAATTTTCTGAAAATAATGACGAAGATTTAACATTTTTTTCATATATAGACGAAGCAACAAAAGAATGGCTTAAATCATTAGAACAAATATGGCAAATATGTAAATATAAATTATAGTATAATAATATTTTCATATTCATTTTTGTTAATTATATTATATATTTTTAATAGGGAAAAAGGGTGATGTTGTAAATAAAACATTGATAGAATATTTTGATAGTGCACCTAATCCATATTTAAGTACAGTACGAATATTAGTAAATACTTCAGATTTTAAACATATAAAAAAAAATTCATCATTAGCGTTTACAGGTTTGTATCTATAAAATATTTATATAAACTGAAACAAGATATCATAAATAAGTTAATATGATAAATTAATATAATTACAAATTAATATTAAATAATATTAAAATTTGTTTGTAAATATATATATAAGCATACATAAATTTATATATAATAACAATATTAAATACACGTATAGATATTGTTATAAATTCTTAAAAAGATACTATAATGTTATAAATATAAATAAATTTTTATGGATTAGTTATAGAAGAATATGCAGAATGGATAAAATCAAGAAAAGAAATGTATGAACAGTTCCTAGTTCTAGATTTAAAATTAGCAACATTTCAATTAATTATTAAGCAAAATAATATGGAATTTATTAAAATGGTTGCAAGTACATATAAGTTTGTAGAACATAAAGAAGAATTTCTTCATATAATACAGGTATTATACTAATTTAAATATATATTGTAATTTTTAAATTTTAGATTATTGCATAACAAAATATATATTTTTACAGGAAATGATACAAGAAAAGAAATACAAAGAGGCAGCACAGTATGCAGTTATATTAAAATTACAAGAATCTTTTTCAGATCCAGAATCTTTAATATTACCACTTATTTTACAAAACAAATTAACAGTTGTAGAAGAATTTTTAACTGATTGTCCTCGTTTACAGGAAGCTTTAGTTTTGTATTTGGATAATTTAATTGGACCTGATAATAGTATGCATAACTTGCTAAATGAAATAATTATGTAAGTTCTAATAATTTATTAAAGAAAAGATTTTAAGTATAATAATATTTTTAATATATTGTAGAAAAAATAAAATACCAGATGTAAAGATGTCAATCACAAATACAAAACCTATGGGTAAATTAATAGCACGTTTTGTCAAATTGTATAATCTTCCATCAGAACTTTGTACTAATTTAAATAAAAAAAGATGTGAAGGTGTTTTACAATATCTCATACATAAACGTTATAAAGAATATAGTTTAAGTATGTAAATTTTTTTAATAGTATAAAGTATAAAATATATATAAGTATTAATAGTATAGTATAAGTATAGTATAAAGTATATCATATATGCAACAATGAATAAAATAACAATTATTGTTAAATTAAGGTACTGATAGTTGGAGAGAAATGGTGCAAGATGCAGTAAAGGATGATGAAACATTACAACTAACTATGATAAGAATGTTACTTAATACCAAAGATTCAAGTGAAGCTTTATATTGGGCTAAAAAGTTTAACGTACCTAGAGAAAAATGGCCATGGATACTTTCATATGAAGAAGAACAAAATGAATCTGAAAGTAATAATTACTTTTTATTATTATTATTATTATTTATAAAATTATTAAAATTATTTTTATTTACAATTATTTTCATTATATAGGTATAAATGAAGGAGCTTCGACTAGCAAAATAAATGATTGGGAAGATGACAATGATTTTATGAATTATTATGAATTAAAGCTATCAAGGGATTCTATTAAAATAATAAATAATCCTTATAGTTTTGAAAAGTTTCTTGATAAAGGATTAGATGGTGTCTCTATTGTTGGTATTGATTCAGAATGGAAACCTTGTTTTGGTATTTGAATATTTTAAATCATTAAAAAATCATTTTTTAAATAAAAAAAAATTCCTTTTGCTATAATATAATAAAATAATTGTGATTATTATCATTATTAGGTACAAAACAAACAGAATTAGCTTTAATACAAATAGCTACCAAAGATAATGTGTACATTATAGATGTAACTACAATGGGAAATAAGTTTACAGAATTATGGGCAAAATTAGCCTTAGTTTTATTTGAAAACAAAAATATTTTAAAACTTGGTAAAATTTTCGTAATTATAAAATTTTTATCTTAAAGATATGAAATTAGATAATATGAAAATTAAAATTAACTTATGATATTCTATTTATATTTATATTTTTATTTATAAATTTATGATTTAGGTTTTGGAATAGCTCAAGATATGACTGTTATACGTAGTAGTTTGCCTGCATTATCGAAAATAAAAATATATGGACAAGGATATTTAGATATTGTAAATTTATGGAAAAAATTGGTAGAAGATTATAAATTTGTTTTTCCACATGAAAGTGATGATCAATTTACTAAAAAAAATTTGAGTAAGCTTGTAGAACTTTGTCTTGGACAAAAATTAAATAAATCTGATCAATTTTCTAATTGGGAGCAAAGGCCATTAAGAGAAAGTCAAATAATATATGCTGGTTAGTTATTTTTTTATAAATTTAATTTCATTAATTTTTTTTTTATTATTATTACAATATATGTTCAAACATTATTATTACATAATATTCAAACATAATTATATAATTATATATTATAACATTATAGCATTAGATGCATACTGTTTGTTAGAAATATATGCGACATTAGAAATTCAATGTGAACATTTGGAAATACCATTTGATGATGCTTGTTTAGAACTGCAACATATTCCATTTAAATCATCATCACAAAAAAATATAAGAAGATTAGCACAAAAGGTAAATTTTTCTATGTTACAAATAATTGTGTAAAATATTTACAATTTATTAAAATACATACTTTTTAAACATTTATTTTTAGTCCCATGTAGGTAAGAATAAAGGATATGATAAACAACAACAAAGAGATTTATCAACAGAAAAATTAAGAAATTTTAGGAAACTAAATTGTCAAAATCATATTTCTAACAAATCAATACAATCAACATTATCAATGAGGATCATGAATTTAAATGAATCACATAACATAAATAAATCAACATGTCACTATACAAAACAAACAGAATTTCATGTAAACAATAAATCTCTGAATATTGAGAAGTTTATATATAAAAAAATACACACATGGCGTGTAGTTTGTGATTCAATGTTAGGTGGATTAACAAACAAATTGCGAATGTGTGGATGCGATTGTGTTCATTTTGCATTTGATCAGGGTGGAGAACGATGTGTTAAACTAGCAATGCGTGAAAAAAGAGTGTTTTTAACTCGTAACAAAGGATATTTAAAAGTAAGTTTATAGTTTTAATTAATCTAAATAATATTATTATCAATTATTATTTTAATATAATATATAGTTTTTTATTTTATTTATATAGTTTTTACAATACATACCATCTGAAGATTGCTATTTTGTATTGTCTGATACTCCTGATGAACAATTAAGAGAGGTATTAAATCACTTCAAAATTGCGGTTACGCATAATGATATATTTAGTCGATGTCAAGCTTGTAACAGTAATGAATTTTCAAAAGTTCGAAAGTCATTAATGTATGAACTTTCGAAAAGGTTATTTAGATAATCTTTTTTATGTAAAAATATTCATTAAATATAAAAGTAACTTTAATACATTTTTTTTTAATTTTTCAGTTATGCTGAACTAACTGGTAAAAATAATTATCACTTTTCTTCAAATCCATCGTATCACGATGATACATATTCGTATTTAACAACGGATGCAGAGAGTAATGATTTGGAACGCAATACTAATTTGAAACACAATAATGATGATCGTCCGTGGATACTTAATGTAATATGTTCTGTGAATGTCAGTACATGTTCAACGAAATATCAAGCAAGAATACAAATTGATCAAGTACCAATAAAAGTATTACAGAATGTACGATTTTTTTATATTTGTGATCGATGTGGAAAGATTTATTGGAATGGAACACATTTAGAACGTACTCTTAAGAATTCTATTAAGGACATTCTTATGCCTACTACATTGATTTTAAGGAAATGAAGGATTAAATAATGAAGATATGTTTAAATTATTATATCCCATTTTAAGATATTTAATATCTCAGAAAATTTTGTTTTGGTTATTAATTAATATTTATAGTATAATATGCTGAATTTTGTATAAACTTTGTTCAAATATCAAGAATAATATTTTATATATCTTATAAAAATATACTTTATACTATTTTCCATTAGTTATAAAAAACATATTGTAAACAAAAAAAAATATAATAAAAGTATTCCTATCTATTCCTTTTATTCCTATATATTTCTTTTTAAATATTTATTTTACTTTTATATTTTAAGATCAACAAAAGAGATATTGGGCAAATATATTTTTTAATTATATTTCTGATAAATGAAAATTAAATAATTACGTATG